AAAAAAGAATAATTTTAGTCTTGATGGTAATAATTCAAATATTTTTCATTTTCATAATTTTTTTTATTTTAAAGACAGAATTTATATATATATATATTGAGAAGAAGATAGAATATTTAAAATAATTATTAAAAAAGGCATTTAAAGAAAAAGTATATGTAATCCCATATCATTCGCCAACTACTTTGACAGCTCGGGTGCAATGTCATTTAAATTTTGTCATGGACGAATTGTCCATGAAAGGTTATATAGTAAATAAATATTTAGATAAACAACTAGTTTTAGTAGTTGGATCTTTCAAAATTTTTCTATCAAAAGGTGGAATTGCTTGCTACTCATGTTTTAATAAAACATTTTAACCTTTTAGGAACCTTTCTTCTTTATCTTATAACATTATTAATTTTTTCTTACCAAATTTTCACTTTATGAATTGAACACTTATTTTACCATAGATTTGATGGAAGATCTTTTAGGTGATTAATCAATAGCATCAATAAATTGAAATATGGGTTAATTATGTGATTGTTAAATGAAATATGTTGATATCATGCACATCAATTTCGTGAGTTTTTTTATTTTTTAATTATCTTCATTTCTAAGAGAAGGCAAACAAATAGAAAGAAGAAAATGACCAAAAAAAAAAAGAGAACCAAAGAAGAAGTACCTGATTTTGTGCTTGGTTGATTAGCCCTTAATCAATTTTTAGCTTCTCTTGTTCTATTGTCCACTTCTTGTTGTAATGATTTAGAATCCTTATTCCTCTCTCGCCTCTTTTCCTGTCAACGGTTCAATCAGGTATTAAGGTATAAGAGTTTACAATCCTAATAAAATAACAGATTTTGTTATGTGAAACATTTTCATTTCTATATACTTTTAAATGGAAATTATTTTATTGCATGATACCATAACTAAAATTGTATCCAATTTAAATATCTTTTATTCATTGCAAAATTTACTTAAAAATGAAACTTTTTTTTTTTCTGGTACTCTTATGATGCATTTGGATGAAGAAATTTTACAAGGGATTTTAATTTGAGGAAAAGAATTTCAAATTAATTTTCTAAATTACATTTTTGGTCAAGTAGGGAAGAGAGTAGTATATTAAAAAACCAACTTTTATATGTTATTTCAAACTAAAAAATTCCTATACCCAAAAAATAATTCTTTTATCATTCTTTTGAAAAAGAGAGAAAGAGAGGAATAATTAACAACCTTATAACCCAACGAAATGAAACAATCAAATAGTATTTTGGTTTTGTAATGCAGAGGGAAAAAAAATCTATAAAAGAAGAGAATATTCCAAATCAAAAACAAATACGTATGAATTTTCTTTTCCAGTATTTAACTTTTTCTTTAATTTCTACTCTGATTTCTCATAAATCAATTTATTCTTATTAAATGTGAAATGATATATAGATAGTAAAATTGTAAATAAAAAATTGCAAAAACTACAATGAAAACATAAGGAAAAAATGTAAGAATGTGAGAAAATATAAATGTCTAATGATTGGTGTCTCATTTTAACTATATGAATTTGAGATTTTAAATTTGAATTTTGATATAAATTGTGAGAGATCTGAAAAATAAAAAGGTTATCCCTAATTATATAGCACACTAATTAAATGTATCAAAAAATTAAAAATCAAATGACTTTTACCAAGCTTGTGAAGAAAAGGGAATGGTAGAAGTCTAGAACTCTAGATTATTACAAGAAAAAAAGTGACTTTAGTAATTAGATCTTTCAAAGTCCTCCGATTAGAGGGTGGGATCCTCTTGTAACTCATGTTCTAAGAAAAAAAAGCTTCAACTTTTATTTATCTTGAGACATTATTTAACATTTCTTACCTAATTTTCAGTTTTTGAACCCTCCTTTGCTATAGATTTGGTGGAAAATCTGATAGGGGATTTAAAATAATCCATCAAAAATTAAAATATAAATTCGGTTGATTGTTAAATAAACATGTTGAGAACAGTATGCAAATCAATATCATGAATCTTTTCCTTTTTCACCTCCATCTTACTTACGGGAGAAAGAGAACAGTGGATAGAAAGATGAACAACTAGAAAAGAGAAAACAAGTACCTGATTTTGTGTTTGCACGACTAGCTCTTGATCAATTTTCAGCTCCTCTTTTCCTATCATCCACTTGTGCTCTAATGCTTATGAGTCCTCCTCTTGTTCTCTTCTTATTTTTTCTCTTTTCTGTCTGAATAAATATAAAGGCGTCAGGTTTGGTGAATCCAACAAAGTGCCAGCTGTGCTACGTGTAATTTATCATTTATACGTACTTTTAAATGGAAATCGATTTTTTTTCCCAAAAATGGCCGTGCTTTATGTGGTCCACCATGTTTGTATTCAGCGCGGAAACATATCTCTTGAAATCTTTAATAAACACAACGTTTGATAAATTTTGCAACGGTTAAGAGTTTGCGCTTCTATATTAGAATCTAATATTTGAATTTTATAATAAGAAAGGAGGGACTTGAGGGAAAAAAAAAAAAGAGTTATATCGTATTATATAGCTAATAAGGTGATCATATATAAGAAAATAATTTAGTAGACATAATTAAATGAAGAAAGAAGTAAATTAGTGAAAAAAAAATGTACATATGTATCCTTACTTGGTTCAAAACATTTTGTGGACTGAAGACGGCCCAACTGAAAATAACTTGAATATGTGGGCCTTAAAAAGGAACTTTGAATCTCAGAAAAGGTTGGGCCTAATTCTTTCTAAGTTATGGCTCTGAAATCTTTGCATTTTCCTCGTGAATTCAACCTAAAATAAGGGTTGAGCTTTTTTTGGTAAAGGTAAAGTAATGTTTGACATTGGGTTAAAGCCAACTCTCGTCCCTCTACTTTGTAAAAAAGTTTAATTTAACCCTTATACTATGTAATCACCTCAAGTCGTCCCTCTACTTCATTTTGAGCTCACATATCCTCCCTTTATTATTCAAAAGGTGGTTGATTTCGTCCCTCCATCCATTCTGGCTAACACCGTTACTTTTACATGTTAACACCTCATGGTTTGGTTCGTTTGGCGTTTAACATATATTTCTATATATATATTTTTATCTAATTTAACTATAATAGGACCCACCAATGCCACATTATATTCCGTATTAATATCTTTCTACAGGGAAATTTTACCAACTTTTTTTTTTTTTTTCAGTTATTAGCCAAGTTCATTTATCTCTTTCTATCAATTTTTTAGTTGAGTCGATTAAAGGAATATTTTTCGAAACTATAAAGGTAATCGAGTAAGTTTAATTTAAAAAAAAAAAGAAATAGATAAAAAAAATTTGAATTTTAATAAGGTTCAAAAAAATTATAATTAGAAAAAAAAATTTCCAAAAATGCCTATTACTATTTCTTTAACCATAAGTTTTAAGTGGTCTAAGGTGAACTCACAATTTATGATTCTATTCATGTGTATAAATAA